AAGCTCTCCATTCTATTGATCTAGGATGGGGTATAATATGCGACAGCTCATCAATTCGGTAGCAAAGCATTTACCACAGAAGAAAACGACCAGTGGTTCTTGATGATTAGCATGCGGGTCCTTCTTCTCGTGTGACCAAAAACTATGAGACTTTTCCCTGGCCAACGAATGTTCCAGTCCGAGAAATTATACAACCAAAAATTGAATAATTCACTACCTCTGACCGCATCTGGCAGTTTCTTTGAGCCCAATCCGAGGTAAACCTTAAGTTATATTATCTTAGTGGCATAGTAGCGTTAAAATACCCTTGAGAATTTTACAAGGCAAGAAACTTCACTCGTTAGTGTATAGTCGGCTGAAATGAAAGACAAGCTGTCACCAAGATCTCGATGTTCACCGTAAAGCTTCGGATTCTGTCTTGGTTGCTGTCCAATATTGCCCTTACTAGATTTAGTAATATCTGCATCGTCCGCTCAAGTAAAGTTACTTTCTTTCTGTCACAATTTGATACTGAGCCTGATAGTGCTCATTTTTTTCTTAAGGTATTCCAGAAATGGTTTTATTAACTTTGTGAACACATGAGGGGCACAATTTACCCTAAACGGTACAGCATTGTATTGGAAGAGCTGTCCCTTGAATATGAATTTGAAATATTCTATGACTCTCCCTGATGGATAGCAAAATTTGCATATTCCAAATCCAGATTCGTTAAGAAAGTATCTCTACGGAGAAGTCTGATCCCAGTTCAATAGCCTAGACATAAGTGTTCTATCCATATAAATAGAGGTAAGCAATCAAATGTGTTGACCCATCAGACTTGGGGGCAAGAAACAGTTGGATAAGTCTTTTTTAATTAGCTCAACTTTTTTACTGATAGCACCGCAGCTAAGCAATTGAGAGACTGTCGAAGGTCAGTAGTTCATAGATGGACTCATGAGATTCAGCTATGGCAAAGTGCTGAACCAGTCGCCATGTGAATGGCAAGTGACCACTTGAATCCAGCTCAGGACTTTAGCGCCACTCCTACAGCTCTGCCATTGGTGATGAATACGCGTCAATGTCCCTGCTGATATCCGATGTTGTCTGACCTTTTAGCCTTCAGTTCCTGCTCATATTTATCTGGTTTCTATTTAGAATTGACTTACTTGCTTAGACCTACACCGAAGAACAAGATATCAATGGAAGCCTCTGTCAGAGTACTCCTGAGTTGTTTGCTTTAATGCGAATATCTGCCAGAGTGCAATCCTCTCCTTTCTTTGAACCTAGAGGATAGAGTATTGCCACTTGCAGTTAATAAACAGCTCACATGTTGCTGTACACAGACCAAGCACGCATCCCTGCATGCGATAATTTCTATTATGGCTTCCGCTACCTCACCTGGTTCACCTTAGGTGGCTAGAATAGAACAGAATTTATTCAGCTATCGTCATCAACAAGACCTGCCCTCGAAATGTCAGCCTTGGAACAAGGTGCGAACATTAATTGTACAAAGGTCGCCGCATCATCGTGGTGATGCGTCATCTATTAAAACAAACTACATGACCTTTAAGACAACACAATCCAGAGCGCCCCATTGTTCGAGTGCCACCTATGTAAAATGTAACGTTAATCGGGCATAACGATATTTAACTTCCGTTATTACTGAACATTAGAACTTTGGTGGTTTCTTAACCGGAGATGTTCATACGTACAGTCCAGATCCATAGTTATCACCAGCCATGTGGAATTTGCTATCACAAGCAAAATGTAACGCTAGTCTCACATAGATAAAACCTAATCTCCATCTGTTATTAACGAAAAATGGTACTTTAGTGGTTTCCTAAATTGTCATGTGCATTCTGACAAAGATGTTCCAAGGTTATCACAAACCAGATGAAATTTGCACATCACATGCAAACTGTAATGTTAACCTCGCATAAGGTGCCTATTCTTTATCTGGTGATAAGAAAAAGATATACATTGGCGGTTTTATAATCTGACAGGTTCATAATTACACGCGTGGAATTTGCTATCACGAGCAAAATGTACTCTAGTCTCACATAGATATACCTAATCTCTGCCATTCATTAATGAAAAATGGTACTTCGGCCTCTTCCTAGCTTCTCAAGTGCATCCTTACAATGTTTTTCTATAGTTATCACAAGCCAGATGGAATTTGCCATCCCAAGCAAAATGTACCGCTAGTCTTACATAGATGTACCCAATTTTTATTTGTTATGAATGAAAAGTGCTATATTGCTACATTGCTATCACAAACCAGATGGAATCTGCTATCCCAAGCAAATGTACCGCTGGTTTCTCATAGATGTACCCAATTTTTATCTGTTATAAATGAAAAATGCTGTATTGCTACATTGCTATCACAAAGCAGATTGAATCTACTATCCCAAGCAAAATGTATCGCTAGTCTCACATAGATGTACCCAATTTTTACCTGTTATGAGTGAAAAATGCTATATTGCTATATAGCTATCACAAACCAGATGGAATTTGCTATCTCAAACAAAATGTAACGCTAGTCTCGCATAGATGAACCTAATATCTATTTGTTATTAATAAAAAATGGTACTTCGGCGGTTTCCTAAACTGTCTGGTGTAATCTTATTATGCTGTTCCAAGGTTATCATAAGCCAGATGGAATTTGCCATCACAAGCAAAATGTAACACTAACCTCGCATAAGATACCTAATCTCTATCTGGTAATGAGGAAAAAATATATCTTAACGACTTCCTAACCTGCCATGTTCAAACTTACAGTCCTGTTTCATGGTTATCACAAACCAGATGAAATTTGCTATCACAAGCAATTGAGAAGAGATTGTTGACCATACCTTGTTGTTATGTTGTCCCAAATACTTTCAGTGTTGTTATTTGTGTAACGGAGTTCAGTATTGAGTCGTTATCCCAAACATCTTTATTCGTCTTTGGTGTGGAGCTGACTATCACAAGCTCAGTCCATGTTGCTATCCCAAGCAATCGAGTCTAATGCTTCCACGTTATCTCAAACGTTCTTTGGCGTGAAGCTGACTATTCCAAGCCAGGTCTACGTTGCTATCTCAAGCAACCGAGTCTAATGTTTCAGCGTTACCCCAAACGTCTTTGTTCGTCCTAGGTATGGAGTTGGCTATCACAAGCTAGGTCCAGGTTGCTATCCCCAGCAACAGTGTCAGAATGTTATCCCAAACGTCATGTTAGGCACAGTCTTCAGCGTCGGTGAGGCATCCATACTAATATTCATTTAACTTGCACCTAAAACAGATCGGTTAGTCGACAGCTACCTGATGGTGACACCCCTTCAGAAAAATAGGCCTGCACGTCACTTTTTAATTTTGCTCCTTGACGAAAGAACCTTGAGTCGACCGTCGGTCGGTATCGCGTTCGACAACGCACATCTATCGGCCAACCTTCTGTCCTGTTCAAGGTAGAAAAGATGCGCGCCGATTGACGTCTTAACGCTTTGGCACGAGAACAATGAATGTTTATAGGCGACCAGAGGGGACGAAGGTAGGGGGAACGGGCGCGGTGTTCTTTCGCTGCGTGCGCGCTTTGAAATCGTGGGGTTTGGTACAACTAACGAGGGTACTACGATATGTATTCTAAATATTTACTTCGACGAGGACGGAACATAATTGTCTTTCGTTGTACTGTGGTGAATCTTAATTGTTTGTTTTCAAATTACGCGAGTGACTCAAAAACCTCATTACTCTGTGCAAGTTTAAATGATATTTGGAAGTCCGTTATTTACCTTTTGGATATTTAGGATTCGTATCTGTGCGTATTCTAAATATGGATTTTAGCTTATACTGAAAATAATCCTTAAATGTTTCAAATTTTTGGCAAGACCGTTTAGCTGAATAATTAATCTTTGATTATATTTCTAAATAGATACTCGTTTAACGTAGTTCAACGCGTGCCGTCATTCTCGAGTGCGTGTAATAAAAGAATTTTTATCCCATACGTTTTTGACAATGAGTTAGTATACTTGAATTCATTATCTCAAGGCCAATAGGGCAGGGAAGAAGGGTAACTTCATTATCGCGACAACTAATGGAATCGAGATTTCAGAAATAGGAATCAGAGCCCTAAATTTAATGAAATTTTGATGTAAAATTACCAGTCACACCGCTATGGAAAGAAACGGCGGGCCTACTTTTTAACTATTCATAGGCTGGAAAGGTGTAGAGGCAACCAACTGGACGGTATCGTCTTACTTCCCACTCACAAGGAAGGAAGAATTGTGATCGGGGAAAATTTTGTATTGCAGTTAAACATTTTGATGTCTCATGTAATCACGAAAATCCATGTTAATCCATTTTGATGGGATTTGTAGAGGAATATTACATAACGCCAATTCCTTTAGGATAGACCTATTGCAGGCGAAGCTATATTTCAAGTCGTTCCCAAAATTCGTTTTTGTTAGTTTTACATTACAAAAGATGGTTTTTAAAAAGTTTAATTTGAAGTACCAGATTTTTTTGAGCTATTAGGTCGTTGTCTGCTATTTTGAATGATATTCGTTCCATCAAAGCGAGCGGTTGGCATCTTCAGAAGCTCTTCAGAAGCTCTTCAAGTCAAGGATGGCACTGACATGATACTTACTCTTCCCGTGACCGGTATATGTATTTATGAGTAGCTCGGGGGAGGCGTGAGTTTCCCTGAATTCTCGGCCATCGACGCAGGTTGGCATCGTTATTAAAATTTCATTGTTCTCATATTTTTGATTATAGGCAATCAAGTTTAGTGTATTTTGTTTTTACCGTCTTTTTGGTTTCTCATAGTTTTTTGATGTAGTAGCGGTGTAAATTTTCCTTGCGGCTAAATTCTCATTTTTTGATTTACATCACATACCAGTAATACTGAATAAAGAGCATCTGCGTATCTAGAATTTTCAACCTGTGTATATATGAAAAATTTGAAAGCAGACGTGTGAAAAGTACCGAGTCAATATGTTCAAAATATTTTATGAAAACAAAATTAACCCCTGGAAATTCGTGTTTTAGATTCCAGATCACCAGTTTCTAGTCCACCGAAATCACCAACAAGCAAAAAGCCACCGAAAATCAAAAGAGAATCCATGTTTGACTACAAATCAGAGGCTGCCAGAAAGGTAAAACACAATTATTACTGCTTGGTGTCATCATTTCAATAAATAAATATTGTATAGGAGTAAATTTGCATCACCATATACTTATTTATATATTTATCATTCTCTAGATATGTAGATAGGTAGTAATTTATTATTTAATTTTTCAAATGAGCAGCTTGAGGAATGATTGTGGAATAATGCATTTCAGCTTAAGAAGCTGGCTGTGTTGAAATAAAACTTTTGCACCACTCATATGTATAGGTTGTAAAGAACTTAATAGCCGCGGTGAAGCTCATTTGAACATATCCCTACTCAACCGAATACCTGTATTACTACGTTTATAAGTAAACCTCAAAATGATCAGAAAATTATCTATTTCAAGCGCTTTACGTTGAACCGTTTTGACGTGTATGTATAAACATCTTACGTCAATGCCAGTGATTAGTTAATATTAATATGTTCTGATAAATGCGACCAATGCGTTAGTGCTAGTCCATCTCTCTAAAGGGAAAACATCCATATATTTTTTATGTTTGACCTTGTGAGGCATCATATATCAAGTGCAGTAATACTATAGTTATTAAAGTAAAACAAAGTGGAAACGCTGAAAAAAATAGCAATTAAAGAGACATGGTTCTTGGACTTAAATCTATAGTATCACACATTCTAAATAAGATTGGATGATCTATAACAGTTAATAATCGTTGCACAACTGTCACTGTAAATATCACACGATTCAGTAACACTGTTCATGACGCAGCACATGAAATTAATTGGCGATTTTGTCATAACATTTGTACGGCCAGCTTGACAATAGAATGCCATTTGTTGTCGACTCCCTAGCCTTGGAACGCGGAAACATATTTTTTCAAGTAAATTTTGACAGTCAATTTTGTTGTGAATGAGGCCATACAAAAACGACAAAGCAAATATGTTTCGTCTTGTTGATAGTGAATCCAGATTGAAAGACTCTAATAGGGCACTATGGTCACAACCTCTTTCTGGATAAGAACCTGTGCATTTAAGGTGAAAATACTTTAAAGCTTTACGTTGAATGGCCTCAAGGATCACAACAGAATTTTGGTATATAGGAGACCAGATCAGAGTCGCATACTCCAACTTGCTCCTGACAAAAGTAAAAAATAAAATCATTAATGTATCAACATTGGAGAAACCCTTCCAGTTTCTGATACAGAAACCAAGTAGTCGAGTGGCAGCCGACGAGATATTGAGTATGTGCTCAGTAAACGTTAGCTTGGTATCAAATATGACTCCAAGGTCTCTATAAGAGGTGCATCTGTCTATAACCTGACCATTGATGTTATAATTATCATAAATTAAATAGTTCACTTTTCTTGTATAAGTCATAACTTTACATTTCGAAACATTCAGACTGAAACAGTTTCGTGAACACCATGACGAAATTAGAGCTAAGTCATCTTGCAACATGACGCAATCCTCGACTGTCTTGACTGACGTGCAGATTTTGAGGTCATCAGCGAAAAACAAATGGAAACACTTCAGTTCAAAAGACAAGTCATTAATAAATATTAAAAACAATAATCGACCTAGATTTGACCCTTGAGGTACCCCAGACGTGGCCCGATAGTAACTCTACCTATGACCACCATATTCGACAAATAACCTTCTATCCCTCAAATATGAATTCATGAGCGACAGCATTGCATCAGACATACCCACTGTTTTAAGCTTATCCAGAAGTGCATAATGATCAACTTGATCAAAAGCCTTCTGAATATCTGTGTAGATGACATCAACTTGTCCCTGACCGTCCAGTACTTCAGAAATGTATTGAGTAATCAGAGCCAAGTTGGTGACCGTAGATCTGCCTCTCATAAACCCATGCTGATTAATAGAGACTGCACCCCTGACCGAGCAGTAAACCGTTTCATAAGCGATGATCTCAAACAACTTGCTGAAATTGCACAGGATTGCTATTTGGCGATAGTTGGAAATATCAGAGATATCTCCACTTTTGTGAATAGGACATATTTTAGAGGTCTTCCAGATATTTGGATATGTCTCTGATTTTAGAATTAGGTTGAATATGGAAGCCAGCGGTTTCGCTAGTATATGAATGCAATCTTTAACGAAAAAACTTGGAATACCATCACATCCAGACGTCATTTTGTTCTTTAATCTTTTCGAAGCCCTAATTACATTTCCTTCACTTATATTTTTTAAAGAAATGATATCGGTAGAATTATTTGTTGGAGGAGATGACCCTAGTATACCAGACGGGATAAAAACTGTTGAAAAGAAGGTAGCAAAACTGTCCACTATATCCTGAGGCGTATCGCAGACATTGCCGTTAAACGTCATCCTGGGGGGATTCTAGATTGCTGTTTTTTGATCTGGGCAAATGACCAGAATTTGCTAGGATCATTGACAATGGCATCCTCAGCCGATTGGACGTAAGCGGAGTAGGCAACACTGATCTGGTTCTTAATGAGCTTCCTAAAATTACTGAACTGATCATAAGAAAACTTAGTACCGTCACGTTTCCAGTTCCTTCTTGCTATGTCCTTCTTCTTGATATTAAGTATAATTTCACGTGTGAACCATGGGGGATACGAAAACATTTTATTTTTACATTTAGGGACATGGACCTCAAAGATGTTATTGATAACTGAATACAAGGCGGTACAAGCGACATCAACATTAACTGCACTGATCACCTCCGTCCAATTAACATCTTGCAAGGCTGTGTACATTTCAGGAAAGTTAGCTTTGCGAAAGTTAAACCGTGGAGAATTAGCAAATGGGAATTTCGTTGGAGATCCGGATGTAATGAATTCCATGATCAGTGCAGGATGATGAACGTCCTCTTTAACAGAAGGTGTATTATCTCTGAGGACTTCTATTTCGATATTTCCTAAAATTAAATCCAGAATTCGACCATTTATATTTGGAATATTATTAAAGTTAGTTAAATCTAAAAACGAAATAAAGTTGCTCATTAATTGAGACTTCTGATCATTAACGTCACTGTTGAATGATGCGACATTAAAGTCACCAGCAACAATTATTTTACAATTACTGAATGCATTGTTAAATACTTCGAAAGCTTCAAGGTACTGACTAAACATGTCCAAATTAATTGAAGGCGGAATATAAATAGAAAAGATAACAAAATGCTCATGGTTAATAATAAGCCTAATACATACAGTATCAATCGACGGAAAGTTTCGACTCAAAGCACTAGCGTCAATTCTAATTGCATGGAAATCGCGTTTTATGGCTATCAGGACTCCTCCGCCGGAAACTAGGCCAGATCGAATAAAGTCACGATCACACCTGAACACACAGTATTCAGCCGGAAATAATTCACTATCACTCACATTCACAGACAGCCACGTCTCAGTCAAGCAAATTAAATCAAATTCGTAGTCACTGACTGCATTGAAGAATGACACCGTCTTAGAATTGAGACCACGAACGTTCTGGTAGGAACACCTTAGCTTAAGTCTCTCATGACAATTTGGTCTATTATTGGGTTTAGTTATGCGTTTAAAGTAACAATCTTCAATTTATTAAATTGGTACAATCCTTTTTGAAATACTGACTTGCTCGTTATATTGCTACTGCAGTTTTGTAAATGAAAGTCTATACTTCCTCTAGTAGAATAATTGTGGCACTCATTGTTCAATACAATAAAATTTTCTGAGTGATTTGGTAGAAGATGATTTTTCAACTTTTCAACTTGAATATGAAAATGAAGACTATGAAATGTTTGATATTTAACCATGTAGTTCTTTCAGCATAAAATTTATTCTAGTATATTTATTTTTATTTAAGATGATTCTCATAGCTTTTATTTTGTAATATTTGTAATTTTGAAAATACGGTTTCATTTGCAGTGAACAAAATAGTCGAACAATATAACAAATGAGGAAGAATGATAGTGTTGTACTACACAATTTTTTTAGAACAAACGCTTAGGCTATGCGAAATTCTATAAAAGTAATTTATTTTCTTGGATATTTTCGAAATAATATATTCATAGTGCGCATCAAATTTTAATTTACTGTCTACGGATATGCCCAAATCCTTAAATGATTCGATTGACACAATTTTTTCATGATTAATTGTAAGATTTATCGTATTTTGATCTAAAGATTTTCCTATTAGCATATATTTTATTTTGTTTGTGTTTAGTTTAAGTTTATTTACATTTAACTAATTTATTACGTTTTTCATATCATTATTTAATAGCTCTATTGCAGTTACGATGTCTTTATTTGATATATATATATATATATATATTAATGTATCATCAGCAAATAGTTGAATTTTTCAGTGTTGTAAAATATCTGGAATATCGTTAATATATAAAACAAGTAGTAATGGACCTAATTTGCTACCCTGTGGTACACCTACCGAAATGTTTTTAATGTTTGATAGTGTATTGCCAATTTTAGTTCTTTGACTTCTATTGATTAAATAATTTCGTAATAAGTTGAATACTGAACCTTGAAATCCACAGCAATGCAATTTCGTTAACAATTTCTCTGTCAATAGTCTCAAGTGCTCTCTTGAAATCTAAGAACATTGTTATTGTAAACTTTTTTTCATCCATATTTCGCCTTCATTCTTCTACTACCCTTTGAATTGCTGTTTCAGTAGAAAACTTTTTTCTGAATCCTGCTTGAAATTTTGTCAATATCTTATTTTCTTCAATATATTCAATGACTTGTTCATATATGATTCCTTCTAAGAGATTCTCGACATCTGGCAGTACATTAATTGGCCGCATGTTTGTATATAACTCTGAATTTTGCACTTTTGGAACAGGAGTAATTGTAGAACATTTTAATTTTGAAGGAAATTCGCCATACACTAAACAGTGATTTACTAACAATGATAATTTCTCTCCAACAATGTTGAGACATTCCTTCATAATCATTTTTGAAAGATGTTCACTAGGATTTCTATTCGATTTCAATCTTGTAATAGCTTTTGAAAGATAGCTGATATTTATTGTATGGAATTTTCTCATAGAAGAATAACAAGTAACTTGCATGTGACATAGATTTGGATCCCCATCTTCGATTGATTCCACTATCTCATTTATACTTTCTATAAAACAAGCATTCATTCGTTCTGCATTCTGCAATCAATATTTTTTGTGTTACTATACCATCTTCGAAGCACATTCTTGATAATTCATTCTTCCTACTGGGAGATAAAAGATTTTTTAGTGTCTTCCACATCATTTTACTGTAATTTTTGTTATTAAACACTTGTTTCTTGATTTCTTATATTGTATCCAATCTTCCTCAGTTTGAGTGATCGTACACTTTTTATAGTTATTATCACGCGTCAATTTGGAGTCTAGAAATATTTGTGAAAACCAGAGTGTTGGCTTTTTCCTTTGATATACCACTTTCCTAATTTGTGCGTCTCTCATGCAGTTCTCCATACAATCCATAATTTTTGAGAAGTGTCAGCATCATTACAAATTTTGGTGATATTGGCTTGTAAGAGTGACTGTCGTAACGTTTCAAAGTCAGTAATTGAGATATCTCTTGATTCTCTCTCATTAAACATATTTTCCACCTCGAAACATATCCACGAATGGTCGCTTAGTTTTGGAGTATGTAAAACCTTAATACTCAAATTCTGTTCATTAGCTATTATTAAATCGATCTTAGTTCGTGAAAAGTTTATAATCCTTGTGTAGTCATTAACTTTCTGCCATAGAACATGAAAGTTCAGTACTTGTTTAAATTTTTTTAAATAAAAATCATGATTATCAAAATTTATATTGAAGTCTCCAAAGTGCACAGTGGAGCAATTTCGATAATACTGTTTTTCACAAACACTCTAAAAAAAGTAAAAAATCGGCTTATATTACAGCTTGGAGATCTGTAGTAAACGTGTACATTGTAATTTTGTTTCATCTTCATTTCAAAATTAATATACCACCATTGATAATCAACAACTACAGTATTATGTGTTTTTACTTCAATCATACACAGTTTGTATATTAGTATGCCGCCTGTATGTTTCGAAACTGTGTTTACTCTTATAACATCATAATCATGAATATCAATCTCCGTATCTTCAATATCTTCTGTAATATGTGTTTCAGTCAAGCAAAGAACTAATGGCTTCACTAATATTAAAAAATGGGCGATAAAAAACCTTGAATATTTATATGGTATACATTGTTAGAATATTTTTTGGCCTGTAATTGCTATTTCTCACCATAAGAAACTTTATCTTTTGATTTTTCATATTCGATTTGGACCATGTTGCAGCTATAGTGGAATGATGAGTGATTTATATCGAAATTTGTCTTGTACTTCAAGTTTGATTCCCTGCAATTTGGACATGTTACTTTATCTTTTGATATCGTACAGCTCTGAACCTGATTACCACATTTTAAACAAATACTCGTCTTGGTGCAATTCTTCGCTGTGTGGCGAAATCCTACACAGTTAAAACACCTCAGAAGATCGTAATGCTCAAAAATTGTACAAACATCCCTGGATACAAACAAAATTCCTGCTTTCATTACTGCTTCAAATGACGATCTATCCAATTCCAAAATTGCCATATACCGAAATTTCATTTTTTTGATTACCACTACTTTAATCGAAGCATCACTATTTATAACGCTGTTTCTCATTTTTTAAGTCTCTAACCAATTCTTCATTGTTTAAGTCTTTACTGAAACCCACGACTTCAATCATTGGTAATTTTGTGGCCTACATTTACTTTATAATTCTGTCCAACACTTTTTTCTATTTCCAATTTTAACTTTTTGATATCATCGATATCCTTGCATTCAATTTTCAGTACTCCATCTTTCAGATCATTAACTTTTTTAATAGGCAATTTAATTTTTGCTTTGATTTGTATTATTAGGCAACAATTGTATTTTCCGGTTGTGTTGTTGTGTTTATATTTTTAGTATATTTTACCATTTTTTTTGGAGATGGCCAAGTAATGTTGATGTTTTCATGTGTAGAAATTTTGACCATGTCTGCATAAGATGTATCTTGTAAATTCTCAATTTGTTTATTTAGTTTATCTATTTTTTCATATAGTTCGTTTACCAGTTTTTTTTTGTATCGAAATACGTCTTTTATATTAATTTAAAATGTCTGTTACACAAAATCCTTTTTCTTCATGTGATACATTCACCTCATTTGCATTTCCACCAGCTTCAGTCACATCTTCGTCAGTCTCCATATGGTTCAACTCGTTTTTTTTTCAAGAAAGAACTTGACCCAGAAAACCTGACAATTTATGTCCCTAATATGTTTCAAAATTCAATATCCGTAAAACTTCCAAAAAGTTGCTTCGATCACTGTTTCCAATTTACCACTGCTCACTAGTAAGCTCCATTACTCTAGATATTATCAGCAGCCGTTAAAAATCTTCTCTGGAATAAGCAAATTGCTCTGTTTTTAGAACTACATAATGTGCTGTTAGTATACAAGACAGTGACATATTACTAGTTTATTTGTTGTATTTTATGCAGATCCACATATTCTGAAAGAGCCAGTATACAGAATAAGATTGTGATTTCTCAGATACATATAGAGCGCAGAAAAAATACTGCGGCAAGTACCTATAAAAATCTTAGAGGGATACGACCCATAAACTTTCTTGCTGGATATTGGTTTAAAACTACAATGAATAATTCAATAAATTTTTGACAGTTTGATCAGATGGATCTTCAAATGACTAGCCCTAACGCAATATTGCTGATTTTTCTTACCCCATCCTTATTTGATTTCGGCAAAATGAGCTATGAGGTTAATCGAACACAAATCTTATTTAAGGTAGAAATGATAGCTAGAGGAAGGGAAGAGAGGCGTCAGAAGCAGGCGGATGAAAGAGCGATTAGGGATCAGATGAACCACCTAGAGCAGAACAACCCAAATTGGGAATTTGAGCAGATGATCAACGAATATAAAAGCTCGCTGGATTTCAGACCACTCAGAGAAAGCGATCCAGTTGTTGAGAACCAGATCACTGTGTGTGTCAGAAAGAGACCGTTGAACGAAAAAGAAATCAACAGGTATATTTTACGTAAGCAATTCTTTAAAAAATGAATCGTTTTCCAAACAACCAAATGAAAGTCCTTTGATTTGTACGTTCAATTTAGAGCTTTCGCCACTCAACATCCACTACTAATTTCTCGATCTTTTGGCTCACAAAATACAGGCAGCACTTCTCAAACTTTGTTTTTCTTTTTGTATAGAGGGTTACAATAATTTTTGCTCTGGTTGACTAAAAATTGAAGTTTTGAATCATGTAGTTCTTTGTATCCTGCTCATTTCCCGATTAAAATCTTACTCAGTCTTCGAATTACTTGTGGAGTATTTGCGTGATACTATATAGGGTGATTTAAAATAGTGACAATATTCTTTAGTTTTATCACCAGAGTGAATACATGTTTTGTACATGCAGTACGATCGTAAAAGAAAATTCGTGAGTCCCACTACATCAGTGACGTAGAAACTGGAACATGTTGACCCTATATAATAAAAAAGGAAGTAATTTCAACGCCATTGCTTTTTTGGGCTTGTAGCCTCGACGTCCTTTTTATTCAGTGCGCATTCCTCCCAAGACAGCAAATTAATTGGCGGGATACCAGCTACCATCAAAAATGCATAGGTCGGCACCGTTCTGTAGGCGCATACTACGCGCAGCACTACTTTTCGCTGATTTCTCAGCTCTCTATATTTATATTTCCTCAAAGCCTTGCTATATATAGGAGCTCCGTACAGCATAATCCAGTTTCCTACCCCTGCCAAAATCCTGTGCATTTCACTACTGGGGCCCCCGTCAAATGTCATTAGCCGTATCAGAGTTGCAACGACCTTATTTACCTTGTCAGTCTTATACGTTTAATCATTTTCAGATCTTTGTCAAGCTACAGACCCAGATATCTAATCGCATTTTGGCTCGGCATTTCTGAATTATCAACCTTAACAGCGAATGAAATTAGCTTCTGTCTGCAAGAAAGTATAACTAGTTCCGTCTTCCCATCAGGAGCTAATCACAAGCCATTTTCTTCCATCCACATGGTAATTCTCATGATTCCGTATGCCAAGAGTCTTTCAAGTGCATCTCTCTTCTTGCTGGTCAGCATACGCTATCAAGCGAATTCTCGGCAGCATCTATAACCGAAGAACCTCATCGTAGTACACGTTGCAAAGGCCCTAGGTCGGAACCCTGCGAAACTCCCATGGTAACCTTCATCGCCTTTTGCCCTACGATAAGTGCCCTCTCGTCAAAGTAGGTTAATAGATAGCTAGGGGAGTCTTATTTGTTGAGAGATTTGACGATTTTCTACCATTGTACAATCCAGGCTTCCCTAACATCAGCGGCAACCATAACGCAAAGCTTCTTACCTCTGTAGCTGCCGCTATCCGCTACTTTCGCCAGCTGTGCCATTGCACTAAGTGCATCTATGGCAGACTTTCCCTTTCTGAAACTATATTGCGAGGGAGACATCGCGTTCTACGTATTTTCTTAGCCTACTTTCTATCAGTCACTCTAGAAGCTTCCCAAGTAAATTCAGCATACGCAGATGTCTATACTCATATTTGACTTCCCTATCGGTGAGTTTCGGATGTTTTGGGATGAGTGCGAAACCAGTCTCCTTCCACCTATTCGGAAAGTCTTCCGTTCTCAAGCATTCATTCATCACAGACAGCACGATTACGGGTATCTCTTTAATCAGCACTTTCACGATCTCATATGTTATTTCATCTAGTCCTGGCTGCCTACCTGTTTTCAAGTGCATTGAAGCTTCTTCCAGCTCACTCACGGTAAATTCTGGTACATCCATAGTCTCCTAAAATTTCCATTCTGTGGATGAGCACTTCGGAAATAATTTTTATATGTTGTTCAGTATCCAGATACTGTGAGTTTTGGCTTTTCCATAGCTATTTTGTATGCTTGATCCCAAACGTTGTTCTCCAAGTCATTTAATAGGTCTTACCAAATCCTCTGTTTAGAGTTCATTATGAGCTTTTCTAGCTCTTTTTTGGCATATTGATGTTGTTTTTTGTATTCAAGCATCAGAACGTTATTTCTTATTCCATTTGCTCTATGGTACTTTCTATTTTCTCTTATTATTGTTCGCCTGATAGGCAATTTTGTATTTTTTGTGTCATTTCATTATTCCACCAATACTTTGTTTCCCTCACTTTACCATTTTTGTGAACCACGCCTAAGGTGATAACTACATTCTCCAGCAGTTCAACTTTGCCCTTGCAATCATCCAGTTTTGTGTTCTATACTAGAAACAACAGCCTAAACGGTCCTGCATCCGAGATCGCGTGAAGCCATCAGTACTACTTTTAAATGGCATTCGTGCTTCCAAAGTACACTGCCACACTGTATAGTAGCGGCTGTTACTTGGAAGACAGATGCATATAAAATTTATTGTCACTGTCATTTTTATTTGTACTTTGAAAAAGGACATTTTGAGCCCATGTATATAGAAATATTTTCTGTGTAGAATATTATTGTCGCGTAGCGTAATTTGTTGTGTGATCCCAGTAACAAACGCACCTATTTTGATGTAACTTGGGGAGCGATATCTTGTTAGTTGCTGATCAAATTTTAAATTCTTTATAGTCGTACTTCACTTTTTAAGTCTCATTTTAGGAGAGAGCTTGATGTGATCTCAGTCCCTACGAAGAACCAACTGATCGTCCATGAGCCCAAACAAAAGGTGGACCTGACCAAATACCTGGAAAACCAGCACTTTCGTTTTGACTATGTGTTCGACGAGTCTTGTTCTAACGATCTGGTGTACAAATTCACCGCCAGACCTTTGGTGAAAACCATCTTTGAGGGAGGCATGGCCACATGTTTTGCCTATGGGCAGACTGGATCAGGAAAAACGCATACCATGGGTGGAGAGTTCAGAGGTAAATATTTGTTGTTTTTGAACTATTCACATCATTCGAAAAATGTAAGAAATGCAGAAGAGGACGAAAGTCTCCCCTCCTTGGATTTCAGTACCGGACAAAACTTGCGACATAATAATAATATTCGTTCGGTCTAATTACAATCTGCTAAGAAATCAATAACCACAAAAGGGCAATAGCGTTAGGCTAGGAATTGAATTCCAAATAACGAACTAATAGCAGCAAACGTACCAAAAATTACTGACTTATAGCAGTAGTGTCTGGGAGACTGTTACCCAACACATTTTTGGACCTTTATCCTTATTTGCGTATTCATCACCCTATGAAACTTGTATGCAATTCCAATGGTCCATTTTAAAACTTTTGGACTTTGATGCCTATTCGTGTATCACTGAAGGACGCTTGGAATATTTGAATGCTTAAATGTGCATCATCTAGTGCATTGATTCCCAAAGTGGTCTATATCGACCCCTAGGGGTCTATGACAACCTGCAAGGGTTCTACGTCAGCGAAAAAAAATTTGGAAATTTGGGGGTCCATGAAATGAATATGGGGGTCCACGATAGTGGATCTTAACACATGCACTGATAGTACCTATTTACTTACATCATACTATCATATAATATCAAAACATATACATTATTTATAAAAGTACCTATGAAGTAAAAAAATTATTATATATGTTTATAAAATTGTGTAAGTTGTAGGATGTTGGTATTCGCTTTGTGGTCGCAATACATTTTGAACTTGTAAAAACCTGAGAGTCGCAGTCTCAGAGCTTCGCTACCTTGCACTGACTTGTTCAATTCGTCACTCTATAAATACGAATGTGGGACGAATACGTTTATTCGTTTCCTGAATCTTGAAAAGGAAAGTGCTAAGAAAATATTTTAAAAAATATAAACAGATAGTACGTATATCACACAAATTATAGTTTATAGTATAATTTGTTTGAGAGTGCTGGAGAAAAGTAAGTACATTATTTTTTATTAAATTTTAGTTTTGTACTTGTAGTTAGCAAAGATAGATAAATTACGCCAATCATGTCTTTAGTTATTAGTAGTTAAATATTCAATCATGCAAAATTACACGAGTACTCCTCAATAGTTTCTTTTTGAAAGATTTAGCAATCGGTAATATAATTACAGTGCAATCTCCGTAATTCGTGCTAATTGTTGCAAGAAGATGTTCGAATTATGGAATGTTTTCGGAAAAATCAAAAAATATTTTTAATATACAGCTGCTGGATTTTCTGTCTTATTTAAATAATTTAATTTTGCCCACAGATGACTGATGCCATGTCCGAATCTAAAAAGAAATGTAGACAGTACAGTGTTGATTATTTGAAATTTGGCTTAATTCCATCATTGCCGCAAGATCATCTGAGAAGATGCCACCCTGATAAAACAGAGAAAGATTTGAAATACTTTCAAACACTCAAAGATAAATTTCAGAAGAGACCTACACTGGACAGAATGTTCACTTCGACGTCACAAAGAAATGATGATGGTTTGCGGGCGTCTTACAATATCTCGTTACTTATAGCAAAATCCGGAAAACCGCATACTATCGGAGAGAAGTTAATTTTGCCAGCCGTTGAAGAAGTTTTAAAAACTGTTTCACACAAACCTGCATCTGATATCATTAAAAGAATTCCCTTAAGCAACAATACTGTCGAAAGACGTATTGATGAAATGAGTTCTGATATTGAAAGCTTCTTATGTAATTATTTGCAAACGACCCATTTCTCTATACAACTGGACGAGTCAACTTTGCCTGATAATGCAGCATTATTATTGTTATGAATCAAAAAATCTACGAAGAACTGCTCTTCGCAAGAACTTTGATAACCGACACTAAAGGTGAATCAATATTTCATGTTTTGAAGGATTACTTCATTGAAAAAGCAATTCCTTTATCAAATATAATATCAGTAGCTACAAATGGAGCACCTGCCATGGTTGGACGTTATCGTGGATTTATAAGCTATTTAAAACAAAATGTGTCAGGGGTGTTAGCAATACATTGCGTCATCCATCGACAACATTTAGTTGCTAAAAATTTGAGTGTTAGATTGCATGAATCACTTCATTTAGTCATTGATGCAGTAAACCGAATCCGAAGCAACGCGTTGAATACGCGGTTATTTGCGCAGTTGTGTGAAGAAGATGACGAACACTTTCATCAATTACTCCTTTACACTGAAGTACGTTGGCTGTCGAAAGGCTTATGTTTGACAAGATTTTTTGCACTTTTTGAGACTATTGTAGAATTTCTGGATACTAAAGATAAAATTTTAAAAGAAAATTTAATGAAGAGGAAAACAGACATCGCCTATTTAACAGATTTGTTTACAAAATTTAATATGGTTAATTTGCAATTACAAGGCGACATTTTAAATTTGATTAAAACAAAGTCCATCTTATCAGCGTTTCTTGCCAGAGTTAAACTAATGAAGCAAAATATTGGACGGGGCGAATTTTCTCAGTTCCCCAATTTGTCACAGACAAGCTGCCAGGAAGACGACGTTTCAACTTACGTTCAACATTTAAAGGCCCTCTATTCAGATTTTGAACCTAGGTTTGAGGATATTTTGACTATGGTAATACCACCGTGGATAATTAATCCATATGGTGACATAGAAGAAACGAATATCATAATACAAGAGGAACTGACTGAACTAAGTACAAACGAAGAACTTAAGGTTCAGTTTAAAAACGGATATCAGCAATTCTGGCTGCAAAACAACATACCCGTTACTTATCCCGTATTATGGAATATAGCGAGGAAATTTTTAATTTCCTTTCCATAGTCATACCTAGTGGAAAGGGAGTTCAGCGCTGTTACCAATCTCCTAACGAGGAGATTTAAGAATAACCCTTATAAAATTGACGCCAAATGTTGATAATTTATTACTAAAGCATCAGGTTCATCCTTCTCACTAAAAATATTGACTTATTGCTTATGTTATTTTATTTATAGTTTATTTTATGTTTATTGTTGTCTGTCCAATAAAGGCCCGCGGGAATAAGTGCCCGCATTGATTTTTTTAAAGAATCCCCCTTTATAGAAAATATATTTTTTTTAAATTACTCTGAAAATTCAAGGATAGGTACACACTAAAATTCGTTAATTTTTTGCCTATTTTTAGATAACTTGAACGTATAAGAAGCGGAATTTAATCAAACTAACAATGAAATTATTGTAGAACATACGTTTATGTTATAATTAATAAACGAACTCGCTTATTGTAATATTTTAAGTAAAAAACTTTTTTTTTATTATTTTTCACTTTTTTTTTTTATTTTATCCCTCTTATTTTTTTTTCAATGCGGGTACTTATTCCCAATGAGGGCACTTATTGGTCAGACACCTGATTATTTAATGTTACGTATATTTTACATAACAGATACAAAATTTTATTTTGAGTAGTAAACTAAACTTCACTACAGTTATAAATTTACGGGAAATCAATATCAGGTAAGTAGGGGGTCTACCCAACACGGAAAAACATGGCAAGGGGTCTACGACACAAAAAAGTTTGGGGAACTCTGATCTAGTGTATGGTACGCGGTCCCAGAGAGAAACAGGAATAGTGATTGATTGATTTCGATCAGTTGCACGGAGCTTAGCTTAGTTGCTGAACATCGCTCGCTATTGATTGAATCTGTAGACAAATAGTGCGGCTCAGCATTACCTGTTATATATATATAAAGAAAATGATCATGCGAAGAAAGGTATATCACAAAAATTAAGAAAATAATGGGCAAAATCCGCAAAAAGGAAGAAAGTGGATTCGAGCAGAAAATAGGATAGGTAACCCGAGCGATACGTATTTCTGCTCATTGGCCCGAAATGAATGCACATAAGCAACTACAAAAGTAGATACACATGCCCACACATCCGGATACGGGTGTAACCTGAGGAAACGAAGTTGGAGGGGAAAAAACGACACACGAAGTCCAAAACAAGAGCCAACCTACACATTGTAGTATAAAATGGCTATACGACCTCGAATTTTCAAGGAGACGTCTAACCACCACCACGCGGCTGGTTAGACGTCAGAGGTTGGCTAATTTTTAATCTGTTTTTAACTTGTTCTTGTCATATTTTATATAATTTTGACCATTGTACCATCTATCCAGCTTTCACCATGTTACTGGACGTTTCCCTCATCCTATACGTAAACAACAATTAGCAACATCCTCACATACTACTGTAAGTTAAGCCAATTTAAATTCATTTTACCCTATTGTTGCTACTGTTATCATTGTAATTGCAGCTCCTGATGATGATGGCAAAGTCCATTGAAAGCTAGAGAGAATTAAAAAAGTATAAAGAGTCCTCTTTGCTTAAATTTAGTCGAAGTACCCAACAAAAAGCGGAAGCTTTAATTTTTCACCTATATATATATATATACAGGGTGACTTTGAAGTTGAGTCATTAATTTTCAGATAATGATTGTAGAAGGAAGATAAACCAAAATATGTGCGTAAAAATAAAAAAAAAATATAAACAAAATTTTACCTTGTTTTATAAAGTATCCTCCCGACAAGTATTTCAGTGCGGAGCTGTATTTCATCGTGAGGTCCCCTGCGAGGTCTTAAGTCACCTGATTCACGAGCCCGTTGTACTACATTAACAAAGGCACGAGGGATTGGTTGCACTCGGTTGTGAAACCGATCTGCATAAACATGTGCCATTTTTTATTTCGTTTGAGCCACGCAACATACACCACTATTCACTGACACTGACTGAAGACAAATGAATAAAATAATTGTAAAAACATCGTTCCAAATTCTTTCGCTTTTTTGTTTCCGATGCGATGAACCGATACGGCGGATTATATCCGTTGTCGCCAAACACGAGCACATAATATTATTATTGAGACAGGTCGGTACTCAAACTTCCAAAGGGCTATAACTTTGTTACTTTAATTTTACCAGAAAAATGGTAAAGGAAAAAAACATTTCTTTTGATCAGATCCACTCACTGTTAAA